GGACGTTTCCCTGCACGACCATTTTAAACATTAGTCCTGATCTGACGCTGCGTCCCGCAGGGACTGGTGGCCGTCCTGCCCGGCAGCCCTCTCCCATCCCCCTGCCAGACCCCCTCCCCCATCCCCTGCTCACCACCCCCCCCAGCCTCTCCCCTGCTCCCCTGCCCATTCCCCCTGCCAGTGCCCTGCCTGTCTCCTCTCTCCCCTCCCCTGCCCATATCCTCTCCACACTCCCCTGCCCCTCTCCCCGGTCCTCTGCCCGGCCCCTCTCTCCTCTCCCCTTCATCGCAGCTTCTCCTGTCACTCAGCCCTTCCTTGGGTGCTTTGTCGTGGGTTCCTCTTTGTGATGAGGATTTTGTCTTCTTCCATTTCTTCCTTGAGGTTAACGTAATTTCTTTCTCTTTTTGTTTTTGGTCCATTTCTGGTGGAGTTTTGTGCTTCTGACTCCTGCTCTCGATGGTGGTTGGAGTACATTTAACTCTGCTGCAGCGTGGGCCAGCCCGCTGTGCCCGGTGGTCCTATGCTGGGGCTGGGCTGGACCTTGTGCAGTTCTGCGGCGTGTGCTCCTGGGAGCCAGTTGGAGGAGGCTTGTGCAGAATCCCAGCCCGACAGCACCCCCTTCTGTCCTCCCAGCAAAGTGCGGCCCAGGCTGCCCCAGTCTGTCCCTGGTGATCTCTGCCCATGGTGATCTGGAGATCTGGTCCCTGGTGATCTCTGCCCCCAGTGACCCAGTGATCTCTGCCCCCGGTGACCCGGTGATCTGCGATGGTGATCACAGCGCTCTCCTGGCTCTCTTCTGTCTGCACGCCTGTTTCCCTTTCCTTCCCTTTCTCCTTCGTCAGCAGCTCCCCAAGGCTGCCTCCCCTCTTTTCTGTCCCCTTTCTTCTCCACAAGCTCTGTCCCTTCCTGGCTGTGGGCTCTGACCGGCCGCTGCTTTTCCAGTACTTGCAGACCTGGGGCTCCCCGGCCGCATCTCAGGCCTGCCTCGGCCCGGCCCCAGGGTCCACAGGCGTGCGGCACGCTGCGGGCTGCCGGCTGCTGGGTCCCAGGACTGTGTGTCCTTTGCCCCTGAGGTGTCCCCGCCCCAGCCCCTGGCGGCCTCCTTCTGTTCCGTGTTTCAGGAGTTTGGTGATCGCAGGCGGCACACACGGCTGAGACCACGCGGTGCCCATCTCTGGCATCCCACTCGGAGGGACGCCCTCGCGGTGCAGCCTCTGTTCTGGTCCCATCGTGTCTCCCTCATCTGTCCGCAGAGACACTCCCGGGAGGACAGACTTGTCCTCCTCTGTCTCTCTGGAGACCCTCCCAACACGAGAAAGCCGTGTGGATTCTCCCGTCCATGTCTTCATACACCGAGGACTGAAGGAAGTTCCTGGCTGTCCTCGAGTCAGAGCCGGCTGTGGCGGCGAGAAGGGGGCCGTGTGGCCTCTGGAAAGTACCTGGGGGTCTGCATACTTTGCACACCTCCCTGCTTCGGAAGCAGCCCCTCCCACGGGGTGCGCCCTTCGCCCGGAGTGGCCGCCTTCAGGGGTCCTGTGGGAGCCTATCTGCGGGAAGAACAGGGGTGTTTTCCCTCCGGTGGCCGCTGGTCACTGCCAAGGGAGGACAGACTGCCCCCACCTGCAGCGCACGATTAAATGTTATTTTTGCTGATTTTGAATGAAAAAAATCTCCCTTTCAGAGGAGTATCCCGAGCCTGGGACGGCCGCCACGCAGATGTTTTCGTGTTATCCTGAGCCCGACACGGACTCGTGTTATCGTGAGCCACAGGCACGGACGTGCTTGTCTGAGTCCCTCTCGAGCGCCAGTCGCCTCTCCTGGTCTGGGTCTGCTGTTGGCTGAGGCCGCAGCTGCTCACTGCAGGGAGGGGACCCGCGCACGGCTGGGTGGCCAGTCAGGCTCCTCCCGGCCACCACGCCTGCGGCGCCCAGAGGGCAGGGCGCGGTGTCTCATGATGAGCTCCCTGCGTGAGGCAACAGGTCTCTTTCGGGTCTGTGTACAGGGAGCCGGGCTGCTGGGGCCGGGGCGTGGCCGCTGGTGTCGAGAGACGCCTCTCACAGCCGACCTCTTTACAAGGTCGTTCATTACTTCTCTTCTAGAATTTTTCATCGTCTCATCATTTTAATAACTGCTTTCAAATGACACACGACCCTTCGTCTGGGTACGTCCTATTTCCACGTACCTTCTTATGACTGTAGGGGCCACTGTGTACCCTCGGTCATCGCCAGCGCTAGAGGCAGCCCCCAGGGGCCTGGTCCATCCCGACGTGCGGCCAGGCATGTCCAGGGCTTGGTGAGTGATGTGGGGCTCCTCCAGCCTGGGGTGGGTGGGATGTGGGGTGCGGGGCTTATCGTCCTGGGAGACGTGGGTGTGGAGGGCGGCCAGTGAGCCCAGCGGGGCAGGAGGTCAGAGAAGCATCCTGGGAGTCCAGCAGGGGATGGGTGGCCTCCTGGGGGCATCACAGGGCACGTGTGCAGGAGGGGCTGCCCCTGGAGGCCTGGGGCAGCGGGTTGGGGTGCAGGGTACAGAGCCGTCTGGTAATACAGGGCGGAGGCCGTGGGCCACATCTGGAAGCCCTGGAACCCGAGCCGAGCTGGGCCTCTGGGGTGGCTCCCTGGGGTGCCCAGTTCCTGTGGGGCCCTCACGCCTCTGTGAGCGTGCTCCCTGCGGCCCCGCTGCGCCCCGCCGTGTGTCTGGGCCTCCCTGCCTGCCCCACGCCTGCCGCCGGCCGCCTGCCGCCTCCCGCGGGCGTCCTCTCAGGGTGCATGTCTGGAGCACGGGGCAGCTCCGAGGGAGTCCAGGCCCGGGTTTAAATGGACGGGACCTCGTGTTGGCGGCTGAACAGAGTGTGTTTACGGCTCGGACACGCGTCTCTGCACGCGCAGGGGCCGATCACGCCCAGCGATGAGGCCCAGTGGGGACCAGTTTGCGGTCGGTGCCCGGAGCGGGGCCCGCTGTGGAGACGCAGTGCAGGGTTGCGTTGTCAGACCGAGTCGAGCTCGTCGTCCGAAGTGTCGTTGGGTCACTGCTCAGAGCTGTCACAGTCGACTAAGGTCCCCGAGATAAAATCACGGAGTCACTTTTTTGGCTGTGTGATCAGTTAAAATTTAGATTCAAATATGATAAATTTAACTTGAAAATCATTGTGTTTTCCACCTAAAACTTATAGAACATAGGTCTTTACTGCCCTGAAGTCCAGCTCGGGGTGCAGTGTTGTGTGTGGGGCTGGTTCCGTGCCTGGAGGCCCGGCGGAGCACAGCGGACCACAGCGTGGCCTGTCCGAGTGACCCTGTGGGACAGTGCGGGCCAGGTGAGCCGTCCCAGGGCAGGTCACCCGGCGTCTGGTCGGGGTTTCAGACCTGGAATGAAGCAGAGAGGTAGGAGACAGAAATGGAGGGCGCGGTGGTCCGCGTGGCCGCCGGCTGAGGTGCGTCGGGACCCGCCGGGAGGTGCTGTGACAAAGCCTGGAAGGCCTACGTCCCCAACCCGGCTAATTCCGCGAGTGCCCCGCACCCTTGTGAGTTTGCGGCGGCTGCCACTGCTGCCTCCTGGCCGCGCTGTGGGCCATTCACCCCTGACGCACGGCACGCAGGCCTGGCTCTCGCGTCCTCGGCCCCTGTGGCCAGCCGTCCAGCTGCTCCGTGGCTCCGCCTGGCTGGGTCCTAGAAGCACCTGCTTTCTGTCAGGACTGCACAGAGCAGCCCACGTCCCTGAGGCTGTGGATGGCTCGCCGGCCGCTGGGTCCCAGCAGGAAGCGGTGTCCGAGGCTGAGTTGCCGGTGACATCAGAGCGCTTGTGCAGGAAACCTGCCTCTGCGATGGTGCATTCGGGGAAGGGGGAAGGTCATTTTGCAGCTTTTTGGCAAACCCTTCTTGAGTCAAGAGGTGCTTGGGAGAGGGTGTGTGGTGGCCATGGGTGGGTGCAGTTTGTGTGACGAGCAGCTGGGAACATGGGGACAGGCCCCTGCATGTCTGCTCCCTGCCCTTGGCCCTCTGGTCCCCGTGGTCCCCAGGCAGCCCCTGTCCTTGCCTCAATCCCGGGCTGTAGTGGCCCGGCTGCCTCATCGGCCCAGGGGTGATGTGCCGTCCTCTATGTCCGTGGGGTGCGACTGGCAAGGGCCTTGTCCCTTCTGTGAGCAGGTGCTGGTCAGCATAGGTTCAGTGACCCGTGGGTCACCCCGGGACGCCCAGCGTGTTTTGCTGCTGGGGAGCAAAGACGCAGGTGGTTGGAGGACTGTGGTGCTGGGCCACGTGGGGCGTGGGGCGTGGGGCGGCTGGGGGGCTCCCGGATGGGACCTCACTGCCCGGCCACGTCACTGCGAGCTTCACTCGCATCTCCCAGAACAAGAGTGCAGGGAGGCCCTGCGGCTCGCAGCGGCCCTGGGGACGGAGCACGCCGTGCCCACGGAAGAGCCGCCACCAGGGCCCGGATCCTCTGGCTGTAGCGGGGGCCACACGGCCTGCGGGGACACGGGCACGGCGTGGCATTGGGTGGTCCTGAGCCAGTTGTGGGCTGGGCAGTGGCAGCCCCTGCTGAGCGCGCCGTGGGCTCTGCTGACTCCCAGGCCAGTGAGAAGTGTGCGCGTGCCCACACGCTGGCTTACACGTGCTCACACGCGTGTGCACGCACCCTCACATGTGGGTGCCCACTGGGCTCGCGGCCTCCGTGGAGGACGTTCCCGGGTGTCGGCGGTGAGATGACGCGGGGCGGCTTGTTCCTTGGGGGCGAAACAGGTGCTCCGTGCTGAGACACAGGAGTTTTCTTAACTGGGGGGAGACACCTCTGAAATATTGAAGACATTTTGGAGAAATTCTGAGTCCTGGGGATTGGGGGAGCAGAGGATGCTCAAAACCAAGCGATCAGCCGCGTGGAGGTGGTTTGATTCCTCCGAATGGTCCCGTTACTCACTGGGCATGTGGGGCTTTTTGTCCTGGCAGCCGCCTCCCACACGGGGTGTCCGTGCGGCCCGCCCTGACGGCCTGTCCTGCTTCCCTCCCCAGGTCGTGCACACGCACAAGCCGCACTTCATGGCGCTGCACTGCCAGGAGTTTGGAGGGAAGAACTACGAGGCCTCCATGTCCCACGTGGACAAGTTCGTCAAGTAAGTCCCAGCGGGGTGTGCCATGCCGTTCCCGGAACACGGCGCCCCTGGGGGGTAATGTGTGCCCCTGGGGGGACAGAAGGTAACAGTGTGCCTTGCTGGGGTGGGGACAGAGTTAAGAGTGTGCCCGTGCTGGGTGGCTGGGGGACAGGAGGTAACAGCAGACCCCCGGTGGGGAGGGGGTGCAGAGGGTGACCGCGCGCCCCTGGGGTGTGTGCCTGTGAGGTGACAGCGATCCCCTGGGCCTTGAGACTTCATCCCCGGGCTCCAGGTAGAGCGTCCCTCCCATCTTTGTGGTTGGTGGCTGCCGGCCTGCCCTTGGTGGACGGACACATGGACGCTCTGCAGCTCTCAGCTGTGTTTGTCACAGTGGGAGGGGGATGGACATCTGTGGGGAGTGAAATCTTTGTCACTGGGAATAAGTAGCCACGGTTATGTGCTGACCAGCACACGCGCGCCCTGCAGCCCCGTGGAGGACAGGCCTTCCCGGGGCTGCTGGGAGTGGCACCAAGATGTCCACACGGGCCTGGGAGGTGGACCTATGGGGGGTAGAAGCAAGCCTGTGAGGCCCCATACTGAGAAGTGGGGTCCCTGTGTGGCTGTGGGTAGCAGGAGCGGCTGCGGCACCTGCCTGCCTTCTGCTCTGCTACGGCCCGAGTGCCCAGGACGCCCTCTCTGCCCTTGGGCAGCACCGCGCCTACCCTCCGTGTATCCTAGATGTGGCCTTGTCCACGCCCAGCCGTGGACTCTGGGCACTGAGACCGCTCCTGCCAGCAGTGTGAGGTGATGCTTCCTGACTTCCAGGCTGGTCCCTGAAGGCCACTGTGCTCACAGCGGCCCTGGGGACGTGCTCAGAGCCTGGCACCTGCCACATGGCCCTGGGGGTGTTTCAGCAGCCGTCACCATGCTCAGTCCTGCCAGGTCCCTGACATCGTGGATGGACACAAGCCATCCATGTTTTTAGTTGTTAGACTGGGGGGTAATTTGCTAAAGAGCACATCTTTTTAAAAGAATGGCCAAATTTTCCCAAAATAATGTAATTTTAAGGCAATTTTAATCAAAAAAATTTATTTGACTTCAATACTAAGATTACTGTGGGAGAGCAGGGGGTGTAGCTCAACACCGAGAGTAACCTGAGTTCCCCTGACGTAGCATGAGATGGGCGTCCCCCGGCTTGGGCTGCAGGACCTTGGGGCGCAGTGAGGTCATGGGGACAGGCTGCAGGGGGACTCCCCCGGTGTCGCCGGGCCACGTGCAGAGCCGTGAGCTGCATCGCTGGTGTCACTGCGTGAGAAGGTGACACCGAGGCCCCCCACCCCCGTCCTGCACACGAGGACGAGTCTCAGTCGTGTCACGGAGTAGGTGCCAAACATGGGGTCACTCAGCACCGAGACTAAAGGCAGGACCACGTGTCGTGGCTCTGGGGCAGGGGGAGGCTTCTCAAGGAGGTGCAAAAGCATCGCCTACAAAAGAAGGTTGAGAAATTCGAATGTTAAACGATGAACAATGATGTGAAAGTGATCAGAAGACACCCAGTGGGGGGACACCTGCCTCACAGCTGACGAAGTCCAGCGCCTGAGAGCACAAAGGGCCCCAGGGAGCCGTGAGAAGGACCACGGGGGAAGAGCCAGGCTTGTCCCGGAGGGGGCCCTGCAGGCTTGTGGAGGGAGGCTGCCCTGCGTGCGTCCCCGTCCCCACCCCGCGCCCCTCATTCCCGTCCCACTTCCTCACCGTGCATCCCTGTCCCCACGTCCAGGTCCCCACATGCTCGTCCCACGTCCCTGCCCCACGTGGTAGTCCCCGCGTCCCCACCCTGCATCTGCACCCTGTGTCCGTGTCCCTGCCCCGTGTCCTCACCCCATGTCCCTGTCCTGTGTCATGTGTCCCCTCCTCAAGTCCTGGTTCCAGCGTCCCCACCCAGCATCCCTTTGTCTCCGCCCCCTGTCTCTGTCCCGAGCCCTCTTTGTCCCCACCCTGTGTCCTCACCCTGTGTGCGTGTCCCAGCCCTGCAGGTGCAGGTGTGCGGTTTCCTGCTGCTGTTGGTTCTTTCTGCTCCTGCCTGCGCCGTGTGGGACGCGCTTTAACTGTTCCTTTTAGACGACCAAGTGAGAGAAGACGCCACTTACTTTGAACTTTCCCTGCCGCTCCCAGTGCTCGCGGTTCCCTCGCAGACTCCGCTTCCGTCTGGGACCGTGTTCCGTCAGCCTGAGCGTTCCGCGACGCTCACGTCCACACAAGTCCCTGGTGACGAGTTCTCTCAGCGTTTGTGTGTCTGAAGAGCGTCTTTGTCCTCAGGTTTGAAAGATGTTTTTGTTGCGAATAGAACCCTGGCCTGCCGGCGTCTCTGTGCTCGTCCTTGGAGGACATCATCGCGCTGTCCCCTGTTGTGTGGTTTCTGACGGGGACTAGGCCGGGGCTCGTCCTCATTTCTGGGTCTGACGTGTCTCCTCCCTGCCCGCGGGACGCCGTCTTCCTGGCTGGTTCGCGGCGACTTGATTATTCTGCGGCAGTTGGATTTCCCAGTTGGATTTTGTCTGTCTTGCGTGGGGTCCTGATTCTAATCAAATTTGGACAAAGTTTGTCCACTATTTCCTTAACCCTTTTCCTCCCCCTGCTTCTCTCGTGCCCCGACCCCGGCCTCCAGGGCGTCCCGTGTGGCGCCCGCCATGTCCCCTCGGCGCTTACGGCTCCTTTTCCTCTCTTCGGGTCATTTCTCTCGCTGTGGCCTGTCGTCCCCAATCTCGTTTGTGTCCTCAGGTTTTCAGCTGCGTTTACGGCCTCCCGGCCGGAGACATCTAACTTGCGGCTTTAGTTCTGCCTTTCCTCCCGCGTCTGCGTTTCTTGACGTCTTTGACCACATTCACGACGCCTGCTTCCGGGCAGTTTTCGCTAATTTTTGCCCTTCTCTGCCCGTCGCCGTTGACCCGTCTTTCATAGATTGTGGGTCGTATTTTGCCACTCTGCGGGCCGACTCAGTTTTTGACGTGGCGCCAGACGTAACAACCGTCGTCTGAGCCTGGCGTCCTGCTTCGGACGCGGCCAAGGTGGTTTCCCGCGGGCGGTGAGGGTTGCTTGAATCCTCTTCCCTTCTTTCCCGCGTGCCCTCTGGTTTGCGTCCTACAGCCGGAGCCCCGCTTCCGTGGGCCCCACGTGCTGGCGGCTCCGGGTGCCGCGCCCCCTCCCCTGCTGCTGCAGAGCCGGCGGGAGAGCTGCGGGACCCCTCAGCGGTGGGGCCGGCGGGGGAGCCCCCTTCCTGTCGCGGCTCTGGTACGCTCCCGGGGCTCCGGGCGCAGTGGCTCCCCTCCCAGCCGTGTTTGCCGAGCTGATAGACGGGTGCCCACGCAAGCTCGTTCTGGTCGCGGAAGGAGACAGTGGGAAGAACGGGTGTTCTTCTGTGGAGCCCCTGTCCCCGGTGTTCAGAGACCCCCCTCGTCCGTGTCGTGGAGCACCAGGAGTCTGTGATGCGCAGCCCTTCCCCAGAGAGGGGCGGGTGCGCTGCAGCTGCCTAGGCCCAGGGGCATTTGGGAGTGTGGTTTCCTGCCTGTGCCGGCCCGGCACAAACAACTGGGAGGCCCCACAGACCCTGGGGTCGCACTGTGGCGGTATGTGGCCCAGGCCCAGCCCCTAAGGTCCCCGCGCCTCTGCGTCCCTGTCCCTGAGACGCTGCTGGGTCCCGCGCATCCCCAGGGCATCATGGGATCCCAGCCGATGACGGGCAGCCCTCACTTGCCCGGGGCATGTGGTGGGCCTCAGTCTCTGTGCCCCTCCCCACTGGTGGTCGGGGGCCTTGACAGGGTGACATGCAACATGGCGTCCCTGCCAGCAGCCTGGGCCTCGGAAGCCGCGTCCCGTGTGGCTTGTGCACTAAAGGACTCCCTCTTCCCTCCCAGAGAGCTGCTGTCCAGTGATGCCATGAAGGAGTACAGCCGTGCCCGCGTGTACCTGGATGAGAACTTCAGGTCCCAGGAGCACTTCACGGTGAGTGTGTGTCCATGTCCCGGGGTCGGGGTCGGTGCCGGGCTGACCGTGTGCTCGCGGGACTGCCACCCTGCCAATGTAGCCGCACAGGCAGCCGTGCCCGGGTTGGTATGTCAGCGGCTGGATGGGGTCCACAGGCGGGGGCACCAACAGGGGGACCAGGGCGTAGCCTGTGGGCTGAGGAGGGTGGGTCCGGGCTCTTCACAGAGACGAGGGTCCCTCCTGTTCCCAGCTCTGCTCTGAACAGTTTCTCACAGGGCGCAGGCCAGTACCTTTGCCCAAGCCGCCCTCCCCAGCAGGGGAGCGGGACAGAGACCTGCCCCTTCTCTGCTCAAGTCCTTGGTCCGGGGCACAGTGGACACCTGGAAAGGGCGCCCTGCTGGGGTGCCGCGGCTGCGGGAGGAACCTGGTGACGGGGAGCGCTGGGGCTTCTGGGAGGAGCAGCTGTCAGGAGTGTGGGAGTAGCTGGTTGCTGGTTCAGAGGACTGTGGCCTCACGATCCCCGTCTTTAGGGGAGCGTCAGGGCTGCTCGGTTAGCTTGGTTTCCTCCACGTTCTGTTCCCGGAGTCCGTCGCCTCACGTCTGTCCTGTCACCAGGAGCCAGGTCCAGAGCAGGCGCTCGGCCTTTGTGTGCAGCAGCGGGTGCCTGTGCCGGGGGCAGGCAGGGCTGGGAGCCACGTCCCGAGTGGGGAGCAGCACGGGGAGATCGCCCATCGGTCATAAAGGCATCTGTCAGTTCTCAGCCTTTAAATCTGGGGCGTCCGTGCCAGTCCGGTGGTGTCTCCTGTGGCTGACGTGGTCGTCACCGCACGGCTGCCCCACGCCTCTGCCGCTGTCCTCGCGCACAGCCACCCTCCGCCACGCTCAGCGCGGCCTTCCTGCCCGACGTGTCAGCCACGCCCGCGTGGGCCCCGTGCTGCCCGCACACCCCCCGCCTTCCTGCCTCCGCCCGCTGGCCGCTGGCTCTCAGCCAGTCCTTGACACAGAGACACTCTAGACCCTCACGCTCCCCGGTGGCGGGACCAAGTTCCGCATCCCGTTGGGACGTGTTGCGGCAAAAAGCACGGCGGCCAGGCGGCAAACGGCATCGGTTGGGTGAATGGCGGGGCTGGTGCTGTGGAGCGGGAAGAAGGGCAGGTGCCCGTGGGGCCCTGGCGGGGGGGAGCCTTTCAGAACAGAGTGTGGAAGGACGTCCCGGGATGTCCCTGCCCGGGACAGCGCGTCCGGGCTGCTGGCACGCGCGTCACAGGGACCCCAGGAGGAGCAGAAACAGGAAGTGCGCAGACACTGGAGAGGAGGGGCCGAGGCTTTTAAAAAACCGGACAAGCCACGTAGATGGCGCAGGTCTGTTCCCGTCACAGGTTCGCGGCAGTGGCGAGGCGTATCCTCACGACATCACTGCGAACAGGCCGCGTGTGCCGCGTCCCCGTCCCCCTGGGGCGCTGGCCTCTGCCGGCGCGCTCTGCTGTGCTGCGAAGCTGCCACGTCGCACGGCGGTCCCTGCTCCCCTGCTCCTCGCGGGACGCGTCCTCGCGTCTGCGCCTTCTTTCGGCGGGAGACTCGGTGTTTAAAAGTGAGACGTGCAGGAGGGCGCGCCCCGCAAACGCACGCGAGGAGACGAGAGTGTCGGGGCCGCGGTCGGCCTCAGCCCGAGCAGCGCCGCGGGCAGTGGGACCCGTTGTAGGGACGTGGGTGTCCGTTCTCAAGAGGACGTCGTGGGCGGGGTGTGCGTGCCCCGTGTCAGACTCCGGATGCGGACGAGACCGCGGACGGCCCCGAGACCAGGTGGGCGGCGGCACGGGCTCCGACACCTCCCCTCACAGACTGGTGGGCCGAGGCCCGCTGCCCGCCCGTGTGACCTTGCCGCCGTGGCGGGACACTAACTAGAGCAGCGGCCAGAGAAATGGCTGTCACAGACCATGGCCCAGTCCGCTGCTGCGGGACGGGGCGGGGCGCGGTCAGCTTCCCTTACGTATCCTCAGAAACGTCTTTCGAAGTGAGGGTCAAGGAGACTTGGAAGAAGACTCCCAGGCAGGCTCGCCAGGAGCTTCTCCGGACCGTGCAGGGCAGCCCCACGGGGGTTCGGGTGCCCCGAGGGCCACCTCTCCCAGGACTCTGCCCACGCGCTCCAGCCAATCCCATCCCGGCCTCAGATCGCGTCCACGTGAGCTGCTCACATGCGCGTGGGAATCTGGCGTGAGGCCAAGATCACACACCTGTCGCCTAAGCACGGAGCAGATAGACGAGAAGGAAACAGAAACGGTGTCGGGAAGACTACCAGATATTTGGAAATAAGCCGCACACGGGTCCAGAGAACATCACGGAGCAGTTTGAACCGTGGTCCGGTGACCTGGAAGACAAACGGAAGCCGTCGGGATTTGCGAGATGCACCTAAAGGGGTCCATAGAGGGGAATTTGTAGCATTAAATGCTTAGCTTGGACAGTTTTGAAAGTAAGAGCAAATTAACCCAAAGCAAGCAGAAGGAAGGAAATCATAAAATAAGAGCATTAACGTGTGACAAAGAAAATAGGGTAGAGAAAACCAGCAAAATCAGATGGTACCATAGCAGGACAGGGCGCCCGGTGAGCCTCACCCCACAGGTCAGAGCCACAGCATTTAGGGAATGAGGCTGCGGCCATGGGGTCAGGAGGCTCCCCTGGGCCAAGCAGTGACCTGCCAGAGGCCAGGCTGGGGCCACTTGGGGCCGAGGGGGTTCGCGAGTGCTCAGTAGACGGGCCGGCGTACTTGTGAGAAGAAGCGGGGTCCTCCCGGAAAGGCCTGGTGCCTGCTGCCGTCCGTCTGTCTCACTCACACTTGCCTCTGGAAGTTTCCTGAATTTTCTTGAACCGCTCGCTGTGGCGCTCTCCACCGTCTGTCCCGCGTCACTGTTGTGCTCACACAGCTGCCTCTCTCTTCCGCAGAAGGGCTCGCTTGGTAAGAAGGGGAAGGGCACAAGGTTGGCGGCTGTCGGGCCCAGGAGCCACTGTTTTGGTTTCCCATCAACCCGAGTTTGATCTCAAAACGTCATTCTGCAGTTTGTGGTGGAAAACAAACACCTGGAAAGAGGCCGTCCCATAACTCAGCAGTTTCCTTGAAAACAGCCTGTTTTGCAGAAAGCGGTGTCTGAATCCTCGAAGATTACATGATGACAAAAATTGGAAATAATCTTAAATACCCGAGCGTTTCCCACTGCGGGACAGCCGTGTGGCGGATGGCCTGGCAGACCGTGTCTGGGGGGGGCCTGCCTGCAGCCGCAGGAGGGGGCACAGAGCCCGCGGCCGATGCTCTCACCCTGATGGCATCTTGCCGTCCAGTTGGCACGTGGAAGTACTTCATGGTAAGGCCGCGTCCGGTCTGGTCTTCAGCGACACGCTTCCAGATTTAAAGCCTCTGAGACCAGGCGCACCTGTTAAAGCTGGCAGCGCGCTCCTCCTTTAGTCGCAAATGCAGAGACGACGCATTAGCAAGAATCACGGCTGTGGTGCTTGGTTCGAGCCTGAGATCGTGCTTGGGCGCGGCCCCTCGCTGTGCTGCACTGACCTGGCACGGGGACATGGGACCGCAGGTCTGAGCCCCTGTGGCTGTGGCTGCAGGTGGGGGGGTGCTGCACAGTGTCGGGGGACAGTCTGGAGGGCTCGGCCTGCCGGCAGCGGGCATGGGCGCTCCGGCCCTGCAGTGCTGTGGCTCGGCTTTCCTTCCAGGGTCCCCATCCTCCGGCAGGGGTGGGGGGGTCCTCTCCCGTAGCCGCAGTCCCATGTGATGCGCGTTAATGGCCACTAGGTAACTGGACAGCCGTGTTGGTCGGGTGGGAAAGGGTCGCCTGTGCTCCAGACGCCAGCCAGAGCTGCTCCTGGAGTTGGCACAGAGGTCCGTGCACGTGTGCCCTCCCAGCTTGTGACCGAGATGCCGATGGTTCACCATGAGATCCCGCTTGACCTGGGGCCCGTGGCGTTCCGTCCCTCAGCGTGCCGCGCGCTGGGGTTCTCCGCACGGCCTAGTACGGGGGACTGCCCCCCAGGAGTCCTGGGTAGGGCTGGGCTGCACTGGCTGTGGCCACCCTCCCACCTCCACCTGCTGGCCTCTGGCTGTCAGAGGGAGGAAAATTTAATTTTTACAAGATTAATAGTATTGGAGTAATATTTTTAGCTGAGTGTGGTTCAAATAATAGGCCATTAATTGAAAAAGGAAATTGAAATGAATTTATCTCGTACATAAATGCTGTCACAGGCATTAATAGGGATCAGAAAATAGTGGTCTGTTCCCAGAAAGAGGGCGACCCTGAAGCACCTGGTCTGTGAGCGTGACCCCACGTGGGGGTCTGCCGTGCTGCAGAAGCCTGGGGGGCCGGACCGCGGGGGTCTGCCTGGGGGGGCTTTGGACCTAGGGGGGCTCTAGGCCTTGGGGGGGCTGTGGACTGGAGGAAGTCTGAGCTGGGGGACTGGACCTGGCGGGCTGGGTGGGGCACCCCGCCGGCCGAGGCAGGAGCCCGCCGATGCTTCCCGTCACCAGGAGGTGGCGCCAGAGCAGCACTTGGTCCAGGAGACGCTCCCGAGGCTTTTCTGACTTAAAACAAGGATCGTGTTAGATTTCGTTTGCTCGGAAGAGACACGCGGGGCCCGTTCCCTGAGACCAGCTGTCCCCGCGTGCAGACCTGGCTGCCGCCCCGGTCAGTGCCTGCTCCCGTTTCTCCCAGGACGTCAACACCGGAGGTCGGCCCCCTCGGGGCGCGGCCGGGCTCTGGAGGGCGCCATCCTGTCCGTGGACCGCGCGCGCGTCCCTGGGGCAGACTGACGGCCCCGGCCCCGGGCATCCGCACAGCCACGTGTGAGCTGGACGGGTGGGCCGGGACTCGCGTTCTGCGTCCGGGGTGGGGGCTCCTGGGTGCCCTCGGGCCTGGGGTCTGGCCACCATCCTGGGTGCCCAGTGGGCGTGCTCTGAGTCCGAGAGCGCGAAGGGAGAGCCGAGACTGCGTTGTGCGTGGCGTGGGGGCCTTTCGTCC